CTTCCAATCACAAGCAGAGTTTGGCCACCAGAGAAGAGAAGTTGCAGCTCTCCTGCCCACCTTGTTGAAGGTGCAAGAGGGCACGGCACGGTGTGAGCTGGTGCGGAGGCGCTGGCTCTGCCCCTGCAGTGGCCCTCCCTGCCTGCCCGCCATGGCAGTGACTCAGCCTTTGTGGGCTGAGTTTGACTCAGAGGCCTCTGCCCAGACATCGTCTGCAAGAACAGCAAGTGAGTCAAAGCACTTTCACAACCCTTGTTCCATTTATTTCTTTGGGTGAGAATCTTCTGGACCCATTTTGGAGGAAAATAAATGAAGGCCCCAACAAGGTCAGGGAGATGGCTGGTGGCAAGTGTCAGGAGGGGGGTAGAGCTCGTCGGGAAGCTAAGGGTCCCTCTGTGACAGACCCCAAACCCTAAGTGCCCCTCCCCTCGGTTCCCCATCCTTCCCATAGTTTCTCCCTTCCCAGAGTGAGCTCCGGCGTCCCCTGCGGTCCCAGCCCCCCAGCCACTTCTTTCATGTGGTACATGAAGGTGCTGCTTCAACAAGGGCGGTGGCTGCTATGCTGGAAACGTGGAAGACGAGTGGGTAAGAACGTGGGCTTCGGAGCCTCTACTGAGTTCTCCCCTGACCACCCATATACGGAAAAGTCCACCTGTCCGTGAGCTCTTGAAGCCTTTTGGAATGGCGTCATTCCCGTAGTCCCGTGTCTGCTTTATTTCTCTCTATTGATCACCTGGTTATTGCACATTGACCTTTTATTATCTGATCCCCCCACCAGAGTGTCATCCCCACAGAGCTGGGACTTCATCCATAGCTGTACGCCCAAGGCCTCTGGGGACTTGAAACCAAACTAGTGGCTGTCAAATTGGTTTGGACTCACAGCTGGCCCACGTGTGTCAGAACAGAGCTGTTCTCTGTAGGCTTCTCTCTGACTGCTTTTTCGAAAGTAGATCGCCAAGCGTTTCTGCTAAGGTTCCTGGAGTGGACTTGAACCTCCCACTTTTTCATTAGTAGCTGAGTGTCTGAACCATCGCACCACCCAGGAGCGCAGGGCCCAGTCAACCAAGTTCACTGCCATCCAGTCGATACCGACTCACAGCACCCCGTGGGGTAGGCCCCCGTGGGTTTCCAAGGCCGTAAGTCTTTACAGGAGCAGAATGCCTCATCTTTCTCCCTCGAAGGGGCTGGGGGATTCAACCGCTGACCTTGCCATTAGTTAGCAGCCCGACTCTTAACCCACTCCGCCACCAGGGTTCCTATGCCTAGTAAGGATACCTCTAACTATTCATATGAACCATGAGTGAATCAGAGGCCTGCCATTTACTGGCTGTATGTCTATGGGCAGGTTACCAGCTTCTCAGCCTTTGTTGAGCCCTTACAATGGGCCGGGCACTATCTACTCTCTGAGGTTTGGACGAGAGAGCTTTAACATGTTTGTGGGAAAATGGGATTGAAAGGTAGTGGAGTTTCACACGAGCTTTTGGAAGCTCCGTTGTGTGTATGAACGCACTCGAGTCCCCGAGCAGCTCTGTCCAGTAGTTGCTGCTATCATCCTCCGTCATTGACAGGTGGAGGGATGTGCCTGCCTAAGGGGAATGGCAGGGAGTGGGGAGTTGGGGGGTGGGGATCTCAGGCAGGAATACGTGCTTGACCTACATCTGGATTAATTGCTGATCCGGGCTGTTTCCCACTTCTGCTGTGTGACCATCCTTTGTTCTCCGCACCACCCTCACTCCCATAATTCCATGCCAATAAAACACGTTTAATCACAGCTCACTGTTCCCTTCTGCCTCCCCAGGGCCAGCTCCCATCACCCACATGAGGCCGAACCTTCAAGAAGGGCATGGTCAGGCCAGGCTTGGGCGCTGGGGGCCTAGGTGAGGTCAAGACTGCAGCCAAGTCTCCTTCAGAGGCCTGAGGGTGATCCCTCCCCCACCCACACTCTTCTGGACCTTGGCTTCTTTCTGTGAAGTGGAGAGGGGTTTTTTAGGTTTAGAGATGGGAGATACGTAATAGGAGGGCAAAATGGAGGGATTTCCATTTCTGGAAGCAGATAACAGCTAAAATGTGCTGCAGTTGCTGGATAGAATTAAAAAAAAATATTTTTAAAGCATTGACATGCTGACAAGACAGCCAGGAACCAGTAGACCACCAGCAGACCATACACAGAAGTGGGCGCTGAAGCCGGTGGGTGAGCTGGAAACCAGCGCCCCTGGTGCCCTGGGGGCACTGGCCCACCCAGGGCATCTCACCTTCAGCTTTGAGGGTGAGCCCAGGGTTCACCTGAGGAGTGGGAGACCCTCCCATCACGCTGGGGTCCCAGAGAGCACCAGTTATGGGGAAAGCCAGAGAAAGCCTCCTCCCACTCCCATGGGCCCGCAAGCAAAGTTGCCTTGGGGGCCAAAGAAGCAGGGAGGGAAGGAAACAGCCCCTCAGGATCGCTGGACACATGGCCATGGTGGCCACACTCATTCCTCTCACTTGGGGGTGGGGGGTGGGGCGGTGAGTGGGGAGGACAAAGCTCAACTCTCTGAAGTGCCCTGGGAGGGACCTTTGAAACACGAATTATTTTCCCCAGGGAAACGAGCAGCTCAACAGCCGAAACAACTAAGAAGCGAGCTGGGGACAAGGCTGTGTGTGTGTGTGTGTGTGTGTGTGTGTGTGTGTGTG